GAGAGGAAGGTGGAGAAGACAGATGATATGCAGATGATAATATTAAAGTAGTCCCTGTAGAGTACAGATGACGATCCCAAAATGGACTCTGACTATGTAGTAGAGACTCGGCTTTCGGTTTTCCAAGAGAACACCTCAGAACACTGAACTACTTGATTTATGGTGTGTGTGCGAGGTGGGGGGAGAGAGAAATGACTTCGGGAACAGGATGGAAAGTGTCTCATTCAGCATTTCAGCAGGTGCCCCCTTCCTCAGGGCTGTGGTAGGTAATACTATGCTGGAGAGATTAGTGGTGTAACTTCATATAAGGAGATACCTACATTCCTACTGATGTATATTATTAGAATAAGCAGACAAGAGGTGAGAATGTTTTGATTTGCTGGTTGCTCTTGTTGGGAAAAGAGGTTTATTCAGAAGTAGCTTTCCTTAACTTACATTAAACTGACTCCCATGTAACAGGTTCTCCTTACATTGCTCTCCTGGTGTGGGAGCTTCTGAAGTCCTCATCTATCCCATGTCAGGCCTATCTCACTGTCTGGGGAGCTGATGTTACTATGGCAATTATGAGACTATGCATGAGGGCCTGCCCTTTTTGGCTCCTCGCCTTGTTCTGGTGACACAAAACAGAGAAGCAAAAATGCTAACAGTTCTGGATGTATGCGCAAGCTATGCAAGCTAGAGTTTAGGGTCTCAGATCACAAGGGAATCCTTAACACAAAGAAATACTACATTTCAAGATTTGTATATATATTAGAATTATAAATTCTTTTGGAAAGGAGTAATGTTACGTGGCCTCTTAAAACTGACATAGGTCTCATCCATCCAAATATTTCCCTGAGTGCCAGTAGAGAATGCTTCTCATACTATCCAGTCTTGATTGCAAATAATTTAAAATACAGTGGTGCCTCACACAACAATGTTAATTGGTTCCAAAAAAATCAACGTTGTGTGAAACATTGTTCTGTGAAACACCATTTCCCATAGGAATGCATTGAAAACCGGTTAATCCGTTCCAATTGGAACAGATTGCAATTGCTGAGTGAAAATCTCCATAATTGATTGCAAATAATTTAAAATATGGCCATAAATAACCTATTTAAATGTTTTTAAGTATTCATCCTTCTCAGTTCAACTTCCCTTTACTGCTTCTGCCAAAAGGGGAGACTTTCATTCTACAACAGTTTTAAATAAAAGACTATGCTAAGATCTGAGAGTAGGATATAAAATCTTTTTGCCAAAGGAAACGTCGAAGATAATTAAGACATGCTATTACCTACATTATGACATGGCATTCGCTCCTAAACTGGGAGCGTGCTCGGTATATATCAAGTGGAGACATGAGACTGAATTTTAAAAATTGAAAATACGTATATTATTATCAGTTTTAGAAGGTTTGTTTATTTTAAACCAGGTTTATTTAAAATATATTTACAGGGTTTCACATTTAATTTTAAAGTAATAAAATAATGTTCTTGTTGCTGTTGTTAAAAAGGGTTTGAATGATGGCAAAGGGCAGGTTGAAGGAATGACCATTTCTCAAAAATTGAAGAGGAAATATGGTGCTGTAAAGTTTGAACCCAGTGAGTATGGGATCATCTCTATACAAGCTGATTGGAGAGATCTTTGAAAATACCAGTTCAGATCAGGGGCTGGAGAGATATTTACTAGAGATCAAACATGGTGTTTAGTGCTGCCTAATTTTCCCTGACATTTTGGGTTGTATCCAGATGCTGCCATTAACTTCACCATTACCACCCTCTTGGTGGAAGGATCAGCAAGCAAAAAAGGGGAGATTGTTAGGAAACAGTCATAGAGGAGGGAAATTTTAAAATACCTCAAAAATTTTGTATGTCCATGACTGAATTTTCCATTTAAGATAAAAGGAATGGAAAATGTATATTGCTTTTAAAAACTATGTACTGGAAATGATTACCATAATTGATTTGACACTGTGGAAAGTCGTCCTCAACTTTGCAACTCTCCTGAATGATTTCTTGTGATTTGACATTGTGGAAAGTCGTCCTCATTATAACTTTGCAACTCTCCTGAATGATTTCTTGTAGTACTGTAATAGATTATGGTACATGAGGTAGTCTGTTGCTCAGTCTTTCTCCTTTCTTCAATGTTGCTCCTTAGTGTTTCCTTTGGCATAGCTTATGTTCGAAATGGAGGGCAGGGTCCTTACCCAGACAGAGCCTTTGTTTGATGAGTTGTACCTGGTTGGATGCTGATGTTACCATTTTTCTTCCCTCCATTCATATTTCACCAGCTCTTGGTTCAATAAAAAATTCATTATTGAATTAGTTTACTTTCGATTGGTTTGTTACTGGGGAGAGAGTTCAGCATTTCCTAGTCACTTCCTCGGGTTGGATGGTATGTATTGATGTCTACTACACCCACCCACCCCAAATGAACTCTGGAAAACATGCTGCATCAAGAAAGTTGGATTTCTTTCATATTTTTAAAAGAATTCTGCACTACTCTTCCTGCCTTTAAAGGAGGAGGAGTGCTCTATTAGTTCCTTATTTTCTTTCCTGCATTTGTCCCAGTAACATTTTTGTCCACTTTGCTGCAATAAGAACAGCCTGGAGGTGCCTTTTTTCCTGAGGGGAAGCAGTGGCTTTTTGCAGTACAGTCTGGACACAAGCACAAACAAGCCTCAGTTTCCTTGTAATGAATTACAATCAACAGTGACTGATTGGGGAGGGATCTTTTCACCTCCTGGAAGATCCCTGTTTCCCCTCTTCCCTTTCCCCTCTCTGCTCTTTCATTTCAAAAATCTGCTCCTCCAAGCTGCGTTTTCAACCATGAGGTGATACGGAAGGGAGTAGATATAGTGAAAATTTTTATATTCAGACCTTTTTTTTAAAAAGCAGCTATTTTGAGTTTTTAAATGACCCTGAGAACTAAGTGGCTTCTCCTGGAAGGGAGTAGATATAGTGATAATTTTTATATTCAGACTTAAAAAAAAAAAAAGCAGCTACTTTGAGTTTTAAAATGACCCTGAGAACTAAGTGGCTTCTCCCAGTCCATCTTCTGTCTTTTCCTGTTCTAATTTTCTGTTCGACTTTAAACTCTCAACATCAAGAAACACTCTTGATATCAATTTGTGAGAATATTACAGCAGCCCCCCCCTTTTTTTTAACTCAGCATCTCTAAACATAAAAATGTGGACATGGAGGAAAATATCTCTCCAATTTCTGTTGATCTTGTCACCAAACAACTGCATTTTATAAAGAGAAATGCACTTCATGTGCTTGATTCAATCATTTTTCATCCCTTTGAGATATAAAGGTCAACACTAGACTTCTGTGGTAAAAAATGACAGAGCTCTCCAGAGGCATGTTTTTTCTCTCTCTTTTTCCCCTTCACTGTCTTTTTGTGTCTGAAAAAACACAAGAATATTCTCTGCAGAAGTGTTCTCCCCACCCCCTAAATAGTGCTTATTAATAGAGACAGGCACATACATTCTCACCACACATAGAAAGAAAATGTGAGGGTTCCACAGTGTGCTACTTTTTTCCCCCACCATGACCATGTGCCAGCTGCCATTTGCCACAGGAGAAAGTCTTCAGCTATAGATGATGTGAGAAAGGCCAGTCAGCATACTAAGGAATACAGATAAAGCTTTAGAGCAGTGGCTCCCAACCTTGGGCAACCCAGGTGTTCTTGGCCTGCAACTCCCAGAAACCCCAGGCAGAACAGATAGTGATGAAGGCTTCTGGGAATTGCAATCCAAGAACACCTGGGTTACCCAAGTTTCTGGGAGTTGTACTCCAAGGACATATGGAGACCCAAGGTTGGGAACCACTGAACTAGCTTCAGTGTAGGTACAAATGCTTCTGTACCTTTATTGTACTTTGAATTGTCAAGTGGTAGCTATTGTGGAGACTGCAGCAGAGGAAGTATTGACTGGATCTGTGCCTTGTCTCAGCTGTAAGAGATGTTTAGCTGCAAGACCACAGTTTTTCAAGTGATAGTGAATAGAAGGTGTGTATTGCTTTTGACACCTAAATATTGGACAATTCGTCTGTGCTACAAGAAGACTCTTGCTTACACTTATTATGCACCATTAGATCATGTTTACCAGTTTTGAAGTATTAGTGTGACATTGTTGTTTATGGAATGGAACTTGACAATGTGTTTTACTCAGTTTTCCTGAAAGCTGCTGCTCACAATCTTTTCAGCACCTTCACATGGATGAAATTTATCTCATGTTCCTAATCAGAGGCAATCCATAGATTTTTTTAAAAAGTTGCAATCTTTGATGTGAACAACAGATATAGATACATTAAGTGTTCTTCATTTTTGAACAGTGATAGCATTTATATCTTATGGGGAAATTATATTTTCTGCATTTGCTATGTATAAGTGGTGAACAGTGGAGACACCTAATTTACTTATTTCTCTAGTCCATGCCCACAATCGTCATTTTCTCCATTTCTTAAGTGCTGTAAGCAATCAACACAGAGAAAGCCTACTCAGTCAATTTATGTTGCCCATGCCCTGGAGCACAACTTAAAATAATCTTGAGCTTAAGATAATCAGAATGTAAAATGAACTCCATTTTTCATGACTTCCATTTCTCTGCTTGTTTGTCACTTACTGACTAAGCAGGTCAAGGACAGCCCTCCTTTTTCTGTTGTTGTTGTCCCTGAAACTCCTAACCTCCTGCTTCGTACACATGTATTAGGTGGGCTCGGGTTTTGCGAGCCTTTTCCAAAGCTCTTGGCCACAGTCTGGATGGATGGATAGATAAAGCATCCCTCTTTTGTTAGGTCAGAGTTTGTGTGGTTGGTCCTTGAGGCCGGAGTTCAAATTCAGATCATTGCTTATTTGTGATGTCTCAGTCTAATGTCCCTCCCTGACTGTGGCAGGGAAATAAAATTAGCCTTTGAAAGTTCTCTGTGTTGCTTGATGCTGTGGATGGTTTTGTTTTTGAATGACATTAGAGGACTTTTTCAAAAGAGGCAACTCTTCTCTCTCTTTTTGTCTTTCAGTGCATAGTGTGGGACTGGGATTCCAATGGCAAGCACGACTTCATCGGAGAGTTTAGTTCAACTTTCAAGGAAATGCTAGGTGCGATGGAAGGAAGACAGGTAGGCACCGAGAGTGTGTGCCAGCCCAAAGAAAAGTTAAAATATCAGTTCATTCTACCAGTGGTCAGCAAAGGTTGCTGCCTAGGCAGTTGGTTTGCCAGCTCTGCAGTGCCCTATCTCCATGAGATTTCAAGGTTAAAACCTAAGATCTCAGGGCAGACTCCCGTGATGAGGGAACGGTGAGGGTTGGGAATGGGTAGAACAGCTCTTGGGCTGGCTGATTGTGGAAATGGGCGGGGTGGTGGTGGTGGTGGAATCCAGATACTTGGATCCAGAATGCTCCTTGAAGCAGCTAAGCAAGTGATACAGCAACCCATAGGTGAGGTGTGTGTGTGTGCATATTTTGGCAGGTGGGCAGACAGCATACTGTACCCGACAGCTTCAGTGGTTGCTGCCATTCCTACTAGCACTCTTACCCTCTCAGCCTTACCTACAGTGCACATGAGGCGGGGAGTTTTTCAGAGGCCTACACGGTTGCTACAATTTGTGGGAGCCAGGGCTTCCCTTGCGAAGAGCACTGTGGTGCAGTAGTTAAACTGCAGCACTGCAGTCAGGCCTGTGTTCATGACCTAAGTTCAGTCCCGACACATTCAGGTAGTCGGCTCAAGGTTGACTTAGCCTTCCATCCTTCCAAAGTCAGTAAACTATGTACCCAGCTCACTGGGGAGCAACGTGTTGTTTGCATAATTACAATGTAAACCACAGAAAGAGTGCTTTAGCACTACAGGGTGGTACATAAATCCAAACAACAACAATAGCAACAAAGAGTTGCTCCAGGTGGCATAATGGAAACGAGCCATTGCTCCCACTGGTTCTCTCTTGAGTGCCTTCCTGTCACTGAAAGTTTTCTGGTGCAAATACATTGTACATATAATGTTACACTGAACCAATGAGTCCTGTTGCCAGCTAAGAATGGGTAGTAGAGACATATGCCACTCACATACACAAATAAAACTCTCCTTCAGTGCTGGCCACCTGAAATTTTTCTCCAAACTTGGAGAGACCGCTATGCATCCTCTGAGACATCAGCTGGTGCCCTGGAACCTAGTAGCAACCCTACTTGCTAATGTTTTCCCTTTTATTGAAGTGGTGCAAACCACTCTAACCAACTTACAATTTCTGAACCATTCAGAGTTTACCTGGGTTGAAAGTGACTGTAAAGCAGCCACACACTGCTGGACTTAGATAGCTGAGAACATCTGTAGGATGTAGAGCAAATATACTCATTAGTTCCACTGGGAATGTGTAAGTTCTGACTTTACAGCACATAACAAACCAAGTAGACCTGGTCTAGAGGGGCAGGGTATAAATCTAATTAAAGTAAAGTAAACTAAAGTAATAATGAAGCACACGATCAAGCCACAAGTGTATCTACTACAAGCAATGTTGGCTTCATCAGCACTAGTAGGTTCTTTCTATAGGTTTTGACAAAACATGGCACATTTTTATGTACACATGTTACTCACATTTTGATATGACGTTTGATAAAGCCAGTGAAGACTGCCAAGGAAACTCCTCTGCTCAGCTGCACAGAACAAGAGAGATTTTAAAATAGCCTTAAAATGAAAATGCACCTGGGCAAATAGCAATGGGAATTTTATATAACTGAAAAATCTGCTTCTGTATTTAAAAAAGCAGTTTATTGAATGATTCAAGCCCCTTTTTTATTTGCAGTATCCATGGAGATTTCCACGGGGTGATGTTATGTAACTTAGCTTGTTTGTAATTTGTGTGTTACACCATTGTCATATGAACCCTTTCTGATATCTGACAATTCATACATAAGGGTTTGGACCCAGCCTAAGTGAATCAGAGTTTAGTCCCCTGGAAATCAGTGGTCATATTAGACTCATGACTGACTTAGGTCCCATTGATTTCAGGAGAACTAAAGATAATAAACTTAGAGCTCATGTGGATGGAGCATTTGCTGTCCATACTATACCTGATTGATCACTTATGATACTGGATATTTTTTTTGTCCCATCTTGGAGGCATGGTTTTAATTGTGATTCTTTTTTTATGAGGGACAGAGTTTAGGGTTACGGCCAGGTATTTCCTTTTTAACTTCTTTGGCAGAACAGAAATACCCAATGCCAACAGTTGCAGTGTTGAATCACAGTATTGAAGCCAGGTGTCTTGGGAAAAGGGACAGCTTGCATTGTGTCCTACATACGGTCTGATATGAGTTACGTGACTAATACATCTTTTTCAGTTCTTCCCGACTCAGCTACATTGTGGGAAGCCTTCATTTCAATGTGAGAATGTTTGGATGTGTGGAGGTTGAGCACTCAAGAGAGCAAGAAAGAAGGAATCGCTGGGCAAATTCCCAGGCACATGTGATGCCATGTCTGCTTGTTCCTTCAGCTGGAAAAAAAATATAATTTCACAAGATGAATAATTGAACTCTGGAGCAGAGTGTTCAGCTGTCTGTGCTGCACACGACTCAAAAGTATCTCTCTTGTTAAATTTGTCTGGTTATCAGTTCCCATTGCTAGATTCCAAGATGACAGGGTTGAAGCTTCTGCTTGGAGAGCACATTTTCACCTTTGGGGTGGGTATTAGGCAATCAGACAATAGCAAATTGAACTTACAGCTGAGTTACTGGGAAGGCAGAATCTCCTAGTAAGTTATAGAGAGTGTTCAAATATTATGAATATTCCTTTATCTTACGTCCTTGTTTTCATAAACATCAAAAGGGATGCTTAACATTGTGTTAACTGTACCATGTCCCAACTACAGAAGGGGGACCAACAGACAAAGGTTTTACTACAACAAAGTTAAATTTAAAAATAAACGCATGATTTAAACAAGAGAAATAAATTTCAGGTAGACAAGTGCGGGCCTCGCTTTCTCCTTGTTGTCTTGTTTTGGCTATATAGGGAACTTTTACTTGTTATGGAAGCTTGGGAATTGATGTGGACCCTCACATGTCTTCAGCAATACAGTCTAGAAAAAGCTATTAAATAATATTGCACTGGCTCACGAACAAGGCTGGACATCTTGGAGTCAGTTTTGCAGGAGGCCAACTGCAAAAGTGGCTCCATGTTGTCCAGCCTTGCTTGTGAGCCAGTGCAATACCATTTAATAGCCTTTTTCTAGACTGTATGCTGAAGACATGTGAGGGTCTGCCAAAAAAAAACCCCTGCATTTCCACTTGGGGAATCGACACACAGCAACACTGCAGTTATTTTTATTGAACATTGATAAATTCTAACAAAAAAATCAAATTCTTATCCATCCCTAATATTGACTTTGTCAGACTATTTTCCATGGAACTGTGTTTGACATTAAGTAACAGATATTTCTCTGAATCCATGGAAGTTAAATTCTGATTACCATGATACTAAAAAGAAAGAGTGGGATGGTTTATTGGGGGGCCTCTAGCACCTTGGCTTTATCTGTCCAGCCATATCTAGTTCATGGAGAACATACACCTCTTCACAAAGTTACTCTTCCTCCTCACTATTGAGGGGGGAAAGTCCCCACTAGCTCATAACTGATATAGCAGAGATTTCCTTTTCTGCTTCAGACAATACTTTTCAGGAGTCAGGTAAATCATAGTCTAGATGACATCAGAAGAGGGCCATACCCACTGGCATCATTCAGCCTAATGAAAGCTGTAAGAGGCATCTACTCACTTCCCACTTTGTTTCCCCACCTTGGCCATCTCCACTGTCCCATTTATGAGACTTCCAGAAGTTGGTTGCCATTGGAGACATAATGGCACCGTAGATGAACCTTTCCTCTGCTCCAGTGAGGCTTCCAGCTGTCTTCACATCTTTGCAAAAGGGCATATGGAACCAGTGTCCTCAGATATATTTGTCAAGTTGGAGAGCTACATTTTGCATCTTTGAACAGAGGACACTGGCTGTTTGAACAAGGGCTTGGATTAGAGGCAGTTCCCTTCTGATCATTTGCTGCTTAGACATCCTTCACTTTGGAGCATTTTGTGTGGTTTTTGTTTTTGTCTGCAGAGCGCACATTATGCAACTCAAAATAAATTATTCACTTTCTTACATGAAATGGCTTTCATGCTCCGACTTGTGTTTTCACAGGTACAGTGGGAGTGCATAAACCCCAAGTACAAAGTAAAGAAGAAGAATTACAAGAATTCTGGCATCGTCATTCTTAATCTGTGCAAGGTACAGTACTGTCACTTAAATAGTCTAATAATTAAATATGGAAGTACTTTTTTGTAAAAGTCCTATTAAAATTCAAATTGAGGAATAGGAATTGGACTCATTTTTGCTAAGTTAAAAAGAGATAGACACATGCATAGAAAACTCCCTGCATACATTTAAACACGTCAGAGAAATTAACTGCAGTGATGAACTCTCCAAAGTAGTAGAACGCATGTTGCTACGTCAAGGTGGATCAGTGTTTCACAATGCTGTCCTAAAATGTGGTTGTTGACCCTTCTAGATCTACTTACTCTGTTTCCAGGATGCTTTCAAACATAAATGTTTGCTTGCATCTTTACTGGCTTTCATCTTCCCTATGGACCCAGAGCAAGCTGCTGCCACAAAATAACATTTGACATTTTCCTAGGCAAGATCATGGGAACCCTGTCCTGAAGGTAGTGTGAAAGTGACTGCTGAAAGTCCAAATGGGGGGATGAGCATGTCCTAGTGTACTAGGGCTTATATTATAGCAGTGTCTGAGCTTGAGATGCCCTGGATTTAGGGTCATCCCAAGATACCTTGCTGCTTGAGGCAGAGCAGAGGAAATTTCCCTCTCAGACCTACTTAACTCATAGGCATAGTACCTGAAGCCAGTCAAGTTGTTTTGGCACATGAGACAGAAAATCCCACTTCTCCCTATCCCTGGGAGTAAAAACACAAAAATAACAAAACCAGTGACTAACCATTTGCTTCCCTTCCATAACACCCAAGATCTGCTGCTTGAGGAAACTGCATGACAGTAAGGCCAGCCCTAGCTCTATTGTCACAAAGAAACATGGTTTCCTCACAGGCCATCTTTGGACCTCCTAATCTCTTCCTCCTATAATGTATTCTTCACACAAACCAGCTCTTATGACTGCGTTAGTCTTCAACTCACTTCAAAATCAGGTCCATTCTTCTCAGTGATGACACGGAGAAGAATGCTGTTCTCCTCTCCTTACACCTTTCCTCTTTTCATCTTTTCCCAAGTGTGGGGCTGGATAGGATGGAGCACCTTTCTTTATTTCTTCTGAGTCTTGCTTTCTGATAGCTTTCCTATTGTACTATGCTAAGTAGTATTTAAGACATTGCAATTTTGATCGGAATATCTGGCTTCCTTCCTTCCAGATTCACAAGATGCACTCATTTTTGGACTATATCATGGGTGGCTGCCAAATACAGTTCACAGTAAGCAGTTTTTAAATGATCTTTCAGTGGATAGAAGATGGAACTGTTTTGCAAAGTTAAATATTTAGTATTTCACATATGTGCTAAATTAGACACAAAATACCATTCCCCTCACCCATACACCATATGGGGGAGGTCAGTTGTACTTTGTGCCTAATTTACTACAGCTTTGAACGTGAATGTATAAAATGCAGCATTTTCTCTCATACATAGGGCATATTTCACACATTAGAACTTCTTTGGAGTCATGCTTTTGTGCAGCTAAAACCTGATAGCATTCCAAAATTGGTTTTGTCCGTGAACAGCCAACATTGACAGCAAGCAAGTCATATATTTATTGAAGGCATTTAAAAGGACAAACTCTTATACAAAGGAATCAGTCTTTGTTGGTTTATTATTTTTCATTGTAACGATATACGCCATACCTTTGCTTTACTAGTCTAACTTTGCTGAAACATAGCATGCTTGAAAATTTGATTCATTGTACATTTTGTTGCAACTGCTATTATTTTTCAAAAGGATTGTTGAAAAATGGTGGCAACACACACACACACACACACACGACAACAACTTAAAGAGATCTATACATATGATTTAGGAGCAGCTTTTGTCTTGACAGCACTTCTACAAAAACAGGTGCAGAGTTCTAAAGATGCCTTTAAGTCAGCCCACTTTCTTTTTGTTTTCAAATTAATTATGTTCCCATTGAGTTCAAGCAGGGTGCAAACAATGCGATGCAGCTGTGATCTGAAAGGCCAGTTGATAAGGGAGGGAGCTAAGATGCTAAGCATGGGTTTGTGAACAAAAAGCTATGGTATGATGTACCTGCTAATTTGTAGAGCTAATGAGAGGCTTTGTAGCATCATGCTGTGCATTCTAAACATTTTTGGAAGCATTTTTTGCCTAGAAAGAACGTATCTTGATAAATAAAAACAAACATTTGGTCTTTTCAGACCCATTCTTGTTGAACCCATCGTGCCTTTGAGGGCAAAACACTATGAAACAAAAGTCAAATGTGGGTTCTTCTAAACAGATTTTAGATGGACTGAAGCCCTTGTATGACACCACCTTGGTATAAGCATGAGACTAAACAATCTCTTAATTCAAACTGTTATCCATGGTAGAGAATTTGGGTGACATGTCTTTATATTGCTAGGGAATTCTGTTCAAGGGAAAAACAGATTGCTTCTGAGCAGAGTTTGCTAAAATTACTTTTTTGGGCTATAGCTCATAGATGTTGATGCAATTTTGGGGATTCTGGGAACTGTAGCCCCAACAAAAGTCCTTTCCAACCTTTGGCATAAATGTAATGTGAGCATGGCCAAAGATTGAAAAATACCTCATAGATCTGAAATCACAATTATTTGGTTTTATTAGATGAAGAAAATTTGAATTGCTGCTGATTTTATCCATTCTAGTTACTGGAAAAGCAACCTGCACCTCATACCTATCAGATAAATGAGGCTGTTTTAAAACACAAAAATATCTTGGAAATGCAGTGCCAATAGAGGTTGCTTTAGCCATTTCCTTCAGTATTGGGTGGAAAAAATCAGTTTGTACTGACAAAAGAGTGGGTCCTTGAGGTGGAGAAGAAAGAAATGAACTTTGTCATATCATTCTCAAAGGCATTCTACATTCTTTTTTAAATCCTCACAAAGCATATACCTACATTTATTCTATCTGTAGTCTTATTTCCGGCTTACCAAGGCCTTCAAAGCAGCTTAGAATATGAAACTAGAGATGGGCATGAATTTTTAAAAAAAATAGTGAATTGGATTGGTTTGTGGTTTGTGGCTATCTATGAACACACACACACACCCCGTGAACTGCAAGAAAAATGAACAAGTTTGAGGTTTGTTTTTCCAGTTCATGTGTGTGTGTGTGTGTGTGTGTGTGTGTGAACCTACCTGCTCCTCCCCTCTGCCACCTTTCCACTTTCACATTACTCCCATCGCCTCCCTATCTGCTGCCACATCCTCCTCCACCACCCTCAGAGGCAGTGGGCCCAGCCTCCCTTCCAATAGTGAGGCCTGTTGATTCTGCACAGCTGCTCATTGCCCAGATGTTGTAGGCTGGTGCCTACAGAGGTACCAGGCCAGCTCTTCAAGACCAGGCCCAACATCCCAGCTGATGTGCCAGCCTATCAGCTGGGTGGCAGGCTCATGTGCACAAGTCAGGCCTGGCTCCCTGGGAGAGGGAAAAGGGGACCCTGTGTTGGGTGGAAAACCTCAGGAAGTAATTTCAAATGTGTAGACAAATGCAGACAAGCAGTGCTGGGACAATCCAGTGTATCCCAGTATATCTGGCAACAAATAGTGTCCCCATGTCTGGATTGCTGGTTTTGGGATGAGCTAGTCAAATCTGCGAGTAAAAAAAAAACAAAACAGAACAATCCTTCTGTGATTAAAAATAACCAGAGCAGCCCCAGAACGACTGGGGACTGGAATTGGGGATATTCATATTTGTACTAGTGGTACCAGACCACAAAATTCATGACAGCCTCTTTCAGGTTTTTCATGTATATATGTGAAATAGTATGGAGAATGGTTGTTGTGGGTTTTTTCAGGCTCTTTGGCCATGTTCTGAAGGTTGTTCTTCCTAACATTTCGCCAGTCTCTGTGGCCGGCATCTTCAGAGGACAGTACTCTGTGCTCTGGAGAATCACGGAACCCTGAGACACCCCACAGGGTAACGGTCAAGGTGGGGAACAGGAGTCCTCCAGCACCACTATCATTCACAAAGTGACACCACACAAGGGATAATCCCAGAAGCTGACTCCTTTTTCCATCAGTTTATCACCTCTTACGCAATCACATAGCAATTGTCAGAGCTGTTTTTCAACAAGTATGAATGATAGTGAGCAGAAGAGGTTATCCTGTAGACCAGAGGTCCCCAACCCTCGGTCCACAGCCCAGTACCAGTCTGTGGCCTGAGCTGGACTGGACCGCAGAGACAGACGTCCCGCCCCACCCCGCCCACGATGAAGCACTTCATGGCACGATCCCAGCTTTTGAACACTGTGCCGGGACTTCACTGGGCGCGAGCACATGGCACTCCCTTCCCATCTTTCCCACCACCGCCCAACGGCTCTGCGCTCTGCCGATGTTTTGTCCACTTCGCGTCCCCATCTCTTCCTGTGCTCCCCTGGCAGACACAGAAGAGGTGAGCCCGAGAGGGAGCATGTAAAGGCGGCCGAGCACTGTCATGGAGGCTCGAGGTGCCTCTGGGAAGCATGGTGGGGGTGGAGCTGGAGCTTCTTGAGGGCCCAATACCCAAGAGGAGCCTCTGCCTCCACTCCAGGCCGCGCTGGTGGCCAACAGCTTCAACCACTGCTTCTTCCCAATCTCCAAGGACCAGCCCCGGTTGAGTGAAGGGGAAGGACGTGGACGAAGGGTGAGCTGGGCAGCCACTGGGGCTCCTCTGGTGCCGGTAGGCGAGAGGCCCTCTCAGCCCTCTTTTGGGGACTCAGCACCTGCCGGCCGAGGCCTGGCTCCTCAGGTCTGGGCTTTTGGGGGCCGCAATGATTTGTGGGCCAAAATGGCCACACCGCCTTGCTGGCTTCAGGGACTGCTTCTGTCAAGGAGGCACATTGGGGAATTTAACTCCCAACCTCTGGCTCCACAGCCAGAGACCTAATCCACTGAGCTATCTAAAATCGAGTAAGTAAATCATTATGTAGTTAAAAATTTCATAGTACTAGTCCCTGATCCATTTTCTGAAAAGGACCCCTGCATTTTTCTGGCCTTTCCCCAGTCCTTCATATCTTTGCTTGCCACATGTGTCAGAGCATGTCTAGTTTGGCAGTATCCTTCACAGATTCCTCAGACATATAGGGAGGATAACCTGAACACTTCTACTGCTGCCAGTATGCATGTTCATTTTTAACTTGACCTGACATGATCAAGCAAGTCTCACAAGTTTGTTTGCTGCTGTTGCTGCTGCTTCTGTAGAGGCTTCTGTAGGTGGGGTTTTGGTCTTGTCTTAAATATTTGAGATCACTAACAATGATTACAATGAACACAGACATAGTCCTACATAAAAGTAGAAGAAAAATAAAGTTGTGATAAACTGTCAAAATAAAGTTGTGATACAACTGTCAAAATGGAAAATAAACATCCAGTTGTTTGCAACTTACAGTGGATATACAGTGATCCCTCACAAGACAAATGCCGCGCACAACGAAAAACTCACAAGACGAAAGCGTCTTGCGAGTTTTTCAATGACTCACAAGATGTGTCATCTTACAAAAATTTTCTCATCTTGCAAAAATTTGATGCAAATTTCGCAAGATGACACGACTCGCGGAACAAATTATTTTCGTCTTGCAAGGCATCACTGTAAAAAGTTTACACACCTCTGTTAAAATGTCAGGTGTCTCTGATGTAAACAAATGAGACAAAGATAAATCATTTCAGAACTTTGCCGAAGCACCTTTTGATTTTATTACAGCACTCAGCCTTTTTAGGTATGAGTCTATCAGTATGGCATATCTTGACCTGGCAATATTTGCTCATTCTTCTTTGTAAAAACATTCCAAATCTGTCAGATTGCAAGGACATGTCCTGTGCACAGCCCTCTTCAGATCACCCCACAGATATTCAATCGGATTCAGGTCTGGGCTCTGGCTGGGCCATTCCAAAATGTTAATCTTCTTCTGGTGAAGCCATTCCTTTGTTGATTTGGATATATGCTTTGGGTCATTGTCATGCTGAAAGATGAAGTTCCTCCTCATGTTCAGCTTTCTAGCAGAAGCCTTAAGGTTTTGTGCCAATATTTACTGATATTTGGAACTGTTCATAATTCCCTCTAGCTTGACTAAGGTCCCTGTCTCAGCTGAAGAAAAATAGTCCCAAAGCATGATGCTGCCACCACCATGCTTCAACTGTGGGTACGGTGTTCTTTTGGTGATGCGTGGTGTTGTTTTTTGCCAAACATATATTTTGGAATTATGGTCAAAAAGTTCAACCTTGGTTTCATCAGACTATAACACTTTTTCCCAC